TCTCTGGAAAACTTTGCCAGCTTCCACCAGGCTCTCGAAGCTGGCCGGTCCTCAACCAAGTGACCAATTCTCTTTAACGTGTCTGTTTTAGATGGTCCCCTACAAAGTCCAAACCCTTTTCCTGGCCTTCTGTGTCACTCAGCCTTTTTTGCGGTGGATGATTCCTAACCAGCCATGGAGTTACTGCCTTGCACTGCCTTCCCCATCCTGTCCGGCTTGTTGGCACTGAATGAGGAGAAAACATGCCTTCCACTTAAGGAGCTCAGCCAGGGAAGGAGAAAGATAAAAGGCTGAAGTTGATACACAATTCAAAGCAAACAGGAGGGAAAACAGAACTTTTCTCATAGGGCCAAATAAAACATCAGTGAAGGAAACCGAAATGAGTTGGCCCGCAAAAGGGGGCCGATGAGGCAACGTGGGCACCGGGCACAAAACACGATGCACAGAGAGGAGTGCGGAGAAATGAGCGTGTTTTCGCACAGAAATAAGAACTGGTGCATATGGGGGTGGGAAGGGGAGGGTGGGGAAGAAAGCACCCAACCCTAATAAACTAATCTCAGCTAATGTAATGTTTAGCAAGATCCTTGGATAATGACACCATGCGTGTCATTATCATCATCAAAACCCAATCTATGTTTTAAAAAGTTACAGATGATTAACACAACATCAAGTTGATGCAGACAATTACTTAAAAGCCACACACAGACACACACAGAGACACACACACACACACAGAACCAGGAGGTCCCCATATTCTGTAGAATGAGGGAGGCTGCAGCTGTAGGGCCGACAGCTTTCATATCCTCATTTGAATAATGTGTCCTGAATCTGTCACTTTATTCATTCTCCTTATGCTCAGTGTACTCTACATCAACAACAAATTAAGTTGTAAATAAGAGACAATCATCACTTTTGTTTTTAAGCAGCTACTGCATAGAGAATTTCAATGTACGCTCCCTTTCGGCAGGGGGGTAAAGAGGTGCTCGAGTTTGCTTTCATAAGCACGAATATGGGGAAAGTAACAGAAATAAAAACAGAAACAGTTTACTGTTGCTGAAAGGAGGGGAAAAAAACACTCTCTGAGGCACATCCATTCAGTAGCAGCTGAAACTTCTTCCAAGAAGTTACTAAGACATATAAAGGCAGAGGCTAAGTTTCCCCGACTACCATGGACATCACGTGACTTATTAATACCAGTCCTGTGGTCTTAATATGCCGGGGGCGGCTTTGCTTGGCCCAGCTTTCGACAGAAGGCCAAGGGCATTAAATCAATATGACACAGGTGTATCAATGAACTGACTCCACACTCATCTCCATCGACTCCCAAGAGTTCAAATCACGATGACATGCAATCAAGAAACTGAAAAAAAAAAATTAATAATACAAAATGTCCCTACCTTTACGTCGGAGAAGTAGGTCTTCAGCATATTGGAGCTGGGATAACGAGTATAAAAGAACATGAGCTTTGCTTTTTTCAAGTGATTGGGTGACAATCCTTCCTGCATGTAGGATGCAATTGGTTAAGGAAAACATAGCTTTAAACACAAGGACCAAGCGCCTCCTCACCACCAGGAGTCTGGGGGCCCACCAAGCAGCCGTGGGAATTCTGGAAGGTAAATGGTACAGACCACGGGATCCATCCCTGACTTGCTGCTGCTGGTTTGAAATGCCCACTGCCTGTCAGCAACTGTCAAATGCCATGGCGAGGATGCACAATTTAGTGGCAGAGTCTTGACTACTTTGTGGTGAAGATGGCAAAACAGGGCCCCTGTCTGAGGCCCTTACGCTATCTATACGTTCACTTGTTGCTAAGGAGACAAATGCACCCAACACGTGCTACACAACTCTTATCATGACAGTATTTTCTTCTTCACAATGACAGTTCTGTTTATTTTTCTCTCCACGCTCTGCAGTTTACATCAAATTATTACACTAATGTACGTGAAAACACCAAATGCATTATTTTGAAAACTGTTAGGCAAGCTTTGCGTTTTACCTTTTAGTGCTAATGTAATGGAGCGTCTTGAGTCACTTTCTTCCTGTCTTATTAGTATATCCTTTTAACGGTTTCCTTTTAAATAATAGCTAAATTTGGGGAAGGGTAGCTTTGGGGAGGGGGTGTCGCTTTTGTGAGAGCAAAGATCTCACAAAACCAAACACAATTTGCCTTTCCTGGATTTATATAGTTAACTGCTTGGAGAGCAGCACAGAGGTTGGGGCTAACGAATCAATAACTGTGGGTTAGCAGATCAATAAATGGCCACTTACCCCAAATAAGAAGGCCTATTTATCTGGAAACATCATTACCTTTTAGATCTGTAAACAGCAGCAACTAAAACAGTTCCCGAGGGAATGCGAGGCTAACCATAACAATCCAGGCTTCCTGATTCCCCCCCAGATTCTTGGCACTCAGCAGACTCGGAGCTGGGATGGCTCTGGTCACATCTGTGCCACAGCCTGGCCCTGCCATTTCCTCAGCAAATTAATGGCTTTATAATTTATCAGAAATGAAGATGCACGTGGAGAAAATCAATGTGGTCCCCCACAAGGTCAATTAAGGGTCCTTCCTAGAAGCTTCTCTAAGGATTTTCTCTTAAAAGAGAGTCTGGGAAAAATTAGGAAAAAATAAGGAAAACGTGCATGTGTGTGCGCACGTGCGCATGTGTGCTTCACAACCCAACAAAAATTTCACACTGTGTGAAAAAAAGGTCAAATAAACGCAGATCTTTAGGAAAGGGAAAGGTTTCCAAATGCCTCCATCCAGTGCGGCGCGAGCAATCTTTAAGAAGAGAGGAACGCCAGAAAGTTACTACGGAAGCATAATAAAATTAATATCGATAAGCTCTCACTAGGTCTAACCGGGTGTTTAACCAAATATGCTGCTGAGAAGGTGATTAGCATTCCCTTTAATATCATGCAAATTTGGGAATGATCACCTTGGTTTGTAAATAGAAGAGTTAAATACTGGGCTTTTTTTTTTTTTTTCCTCCAGTGAAAATAAACGCTGAAGCAAGAAATTTTGATTTTATATCTGTAAGCCAAAGCAGCTTAACCGAACTTGTGTTTTTGTTTGAGATCCTTAATGATTACAAAGACGATAATTTATGACTGACATACTTTTTGTGCCAAGGAAAGAGCTGAAAGGCCCTCCAGTAACCTCCATTAGACAGATAGAGAAGACTAAAGGAACACAGCACACTTCAGGACCATCTGTCCAAATGGGGAAGTGAAATAATAGTTGCAAGCTGTCCCCTATTGCCTCGTGATAAGAGTTTTAGGTAAGTCCAAACTTCGACAAACATTTTCAGATCTGGGTTCTAATCTTTTTTTTTTTTTCCAGACGGCTACATGAAAACAACCTTGAACATTTAACTATGAGTGGGTAAAAGTCCTAATTCTTTTAATATTTGGTCTCATAAAAAACAATTTTTTTTTTTTTTTTTTTTTTTTGCTGTGGTTCTCAGACAATTATAGGGCCACAGAAACTTCCTGAAGCTTTCCACACATTAACATTTTGCTAAGATGGTTTAGTTCTTTCTACTTAAAAGACAAGGCAAACTATCCATCTTATTTTGTTGGGGGATGCAGAGGCTTTTTATTTCATAAAAAATCATTCTGATTTGATTTCTCAAGTCTGTTTTTGCTTTGAAACGTTTCCTGTTGGTAATACTTGGAATCGATCAGTTGAAATGGAACACAGACTGAATCTTTATCTCCCGCTCATCGTGTAATTGAGATAAAATTCCCATAAAATATATGTTTCTAATAAACTATTAAAAATAGCTAATGAAACATTTAAAAGCCAACAGTTAGATAATCCTTTTTTTGCCTCCTCAAAATAAATCTGAACTGACCAATTGGTTAATTTCCCTTTTAAGTGCTTGTGCTGAAAAGCAACTGTTCTTCCAAGAAAGCACTAGCTGTTTCCAGGATACTTACACACGCACAATGACTCATGATGGAATAGATTCAGTAAACATACAGCTGTACTGAACACGAGCTAAGCCCCATTCAAGGCCAGGAAAGAAAATGAGCACAAATAAATATTAAGGAGGTAAAGGGGGGTGGGGGGCGGGGGGATGGAACGCAAACAAGATCTGTCCAGGCAGCTCATGTGGCTTTGCCTCAATTCTCTTAGCCATAGCTTTGTGAAGACAGATGACATTCAATTCTATGTGTAATGCAAAATAGACAATAACTGCTGAAACTTGAGACAGCTGCCAGGTGTAAAAAAAGAAAAAAAAAAGAAAAAAGAAAAAGGGAAAAAAGAAAAGATGATAAATCCATAAATTAATGAAAGACATCTGCTCGGGAATATAAAAGATCAGAGAAGTAGAGTGCTACAGCTGAACCTAAAGCGGTGTTCAAACAACCCGAGACTCTGCGTGTTGTCTGTTTACCAAGCACAATATAACCTCACCTACACGCAGCAGCGGGAGGAGCAGCAGAGGCAGCAAAAAGGCAAATGGGAGAATAATAGGTTGCGAAGGCAGGAGGAAGAAAATTCTCCTTTTCTAATTGAGCTCTGAATTGTGGCTGGAGATTTTACAAGCTGCCTTTCCAACCAAACGCACTGGGACTGCTTACTTACACTTTCTAAACCACTGTGAAGCCCAAAGAATTTTCGCTTCTCTCCTTCTGCTCTGATGTGCTATGTGTCTAAGAGGCTTGCCCCCTGGGAAACCTTAAATGGGGAGAAGAGATCTAAATTGTCTCATTGCCTGAAAGTGATAGAGCAAGTAATTGTTGCTCCGCTAAGAAGTTCAACATAACCCGGGGGAGGAATATTTTTTTTGATTTACTTCATAATGGTAGGAACCCAGAGTCTTTCAGCCTTTAACATACATGTTTCCCTCTGGCTAATATAACCATCATGGCCCCACAAGGCTTCTTAAAAATGATCAACTTCTATGTATTATTTCACATTTTAGAAATTCAGCTTTAACCCATGTTTTCCAGTGGGTTTTGGTTTCAGATTACTATTTTCCTTTCTAAACTTCTTTAAGTATTGTTAACATTCTCCCTAAAAAGTCGAGGAAAGGAAGCTGGTGGCCACAGAGGGCAGGCTCAGTTTCTTCACCTGCACTTCCTAACGGCTCATAATGCTACCCTTGTGCTTTAACTGGGTGCATGCAAATGCCTGAGGCCTCTACAAGGCTATTTTTCTTGAGATGCAAAGAGGATGAGTGACAAGGAACAACACGAAGGAAAACAATTGGCTGGCTGTTTCTTTTGGGATTTGAATAAAACTTAATATTTGATTAAATAGATTCATTTGCAAAGATACTGAACACATTTTAAAAATCCAAGACGTAAACAGGTGCACCGACTTTCAGTTTTACATGCACATATTCACTATTTCCTTTCTAGTAGAAGGGGTAACTAGGTGGTGCATTCTATTATAGAGCACGTATATGCTTAATGTGCTGAACTTAAATGGAGGTATCAGATAAGCTGGTGTTCTCAGTAGTCCTTGGCTACTCTGTTCAGAGAAACAGATGATGCCCTTTGGAGTGGGAATTATTCCTTAAGAAATAAATTATATATTACAACTTGGAAAGCCATGATCTAAAAATAAAAACATAATAACGATTTAGTGGTAACATTTCATCTCATTTCTACTGATCTTTTCGAGGAGTAACTATACAACAGGTTCTCATATGGGCTTATACACCTAAAACTGAAGTAAGACACCACTCACTGTAATTCCCAGATTTCTTTAAACTAAGCACTTGAGAATTCTGCCTACATACCATCGGTGAAATCCAGGGAAGAGCTTGTAGCCATATGAGGATGGAGAGGGGTCCATTTTCCCAACAAACACTCACATCCTCACTGGTTTCAGAATTATGTGGACTATAGGAAAGGTTGCTTACCTATCTTCTTCCTAAGAAATAATGTATCAATGAGATAAATGGTTAGAAGTGTGATGTGGTAGAGGGAAAAGAGAAGGAAACAGAGCACAGAAGTCTAGAAGGTGGGAAGTGTAATCACTGCAAGAAGAGGCCCAAATTTTTTGGCTACAGGAAAGAAATGCCTCCAGGTATAAGCAACTAACATTTTATATGAACACAGGTGCTTTCAAACCATTGCTGCTGAATAGAATCTTATGTTGGTAGGAGAGAGGAGAAGTTATTCATCTTAAGAAGCAGCAACTATATTCTCTTTAAAGCCTTTGATATGTGTAGCAATAAAAGGAACTTCTTTCCATTCAAATCCTTAAAATTCCTCGGGGGATTTAGAGAGGGTGAAACAATGAGCGTGGCCAACACTTAAAACAATCAACAAGATTTTTATCCTAGAAAACCCAACTTACTTTCAAACACACACACACACACACACACATGCACGCACGCGCGCGCATGCAATTACAATGAAAAGTCTAATACAAAAACATGATTTGGCACCTTGATTTAAAGAGTTTAATATGAACTTAGAAGACTTTGAAACCTGGCTTCAAACATTCACCAAAATAGGCATATCCCTTTCGTGTGTGTGTGTGTTTGAGAGAGAGAGAGAGAGAGAGAGAGAGAGGGAGAGAGAGAGGGAGAGAGGGAGAGAGGGAGAGAGAGAGAACCCACTATTACTACTATCGGCTTCAAAATGGAGTGAAAGATCTCTGAGGAGATCTGGAGTTTGGCTTTGGACAGTAGCCTGGTTTGACCATCAGAAGATGCTCTTCTTGCAAAGCATAAAAAAAAAAAAAATTCAAGCTATTGCTTCTTCTTACTTGGCCTTTCTCATCACCAACCGCTATACTCCAATCATTCTGACCAATGTTTGCTACCTGCTCATAACGGGTAAGGCAGGGTGCTCGGCATGGTTTTGATTCGTAACTGGCAAGTGAAATCTGAGGTCTTTGAAAGGTAGAAGTCAAGTCTGCAGCCAACCCAAAACTCAGTTTCTATTTCTATAGCTCTTGCATTCTCTCATGACATGATTCTCTCCTTCCTCACCATGGAAAGAGGCTGTGTTTAACTGCCCAAGCGGGTCTCATGCTAGTGGCTCCCATTCACCTTATCAGAAATCTTTAGCAATAGCCTAAGATTTGGCTACAAGGATGACCTTCACTGCCTAGCCAAACACATTTCCACCAGAGCTGAGATTTCGCACTTACGTGGCGGCCTCCCGAGTGGGCTTAGATACTAAAATGCCAATTTCTAGTCATCAAGACGATTGCTCAAAATCCTCAATTTAGCAACAGCCAACTTAATTGCTAAATTTTATATCCATCTGGCAATTTATTATAAAAGAAACATGCCACTACCTGCCCCCAAATGCTACCAGTCGACTACCCCAGAACACCAACGACCACAAGATTTTTAAGAATTTACTGCAAGGACCAATTTACAGAGAAAAAAAGAAATCATCGGTTAAAAATAATAGCCGGAGTTCAAGACAGGTCTAATAAAAAATATAACTGGCATCTCTACATCAAAGTCAGGTTCAAAATATAAAAGAGTCATAAAAAGAGCCATTTTAAGTCGAATACAGCTGAGTTTTATATTTAATTGTGCTCTCTCGCTTTCCAAAATAATTTGCTTTGTGTACGTTAGGACAAAAGATTTCTGTGTATGGCTGAACAGAGGTTAATCATGCATGGAAGGCAGCTGCACCAGCCCCAAAGAACAGACCTTGGGTGAACGAGAGAGAGGCCGATGCCGTCTGAATAAATCAGTACCTGTGTATTTCCTTTAGGAAAAAAACGTGTCTCACTTCACGATTAAAGAGAGAATCCAACTCCCCCCCGACACCCACGTTCCTCCCACCAGGACAGCGCTCTGCATCAGACTGAATCGGGCCTTCTTTCCGTGACCCAGGGGCCTGAACACGACTTCAAGGGAGGATTCTTCTCAGGGCATCTTAGGGATCTGAAACGGACTTTTCTCTTCGCTCCATTATAAAGCTTACCATTTCTTAAAATGTACATATCTGTTAGAATTCAGTATGACAGGGAGATATTTTTCCATCTCTGACTTGGTTTTTGTTTTTTGGGTTTTTTTTAAAGAAGCTAAAAAGATAATACAGGAAGAAGAGCAGAAAAAACAACGCTGAAAAGGCACCTATTAGATACCAGCTCTTTGGGGCAATTCACAACTTGTGAAAGTTGCAAAGATGTTGGTTTAGTGGGAAGGTTTTGTGTCATCAGAAGTGCCACAGGCATGTTGATAAAAGCTTATTACTTGGAGTAATAGAAAACATTGCATTCTTAAGAAGATACTAGTCTACATTATTCTACACATGTGTAAACCTGACCCTTTGGGAAGCCGATTTTGTTTGGTTTCCCCTGAGGGGGAAAGAAAAGGATATTGCACTTCCCGAATAAGGTGAGATTTCGGACATGTCTTGAAGATCGCCACACTCAGACTTGATGAGCGACAAGGAGAGCCCTTCCGCGGTGCTGGGTGGGTGTGCTGGTGAACAAGGGTGGTGGCTCAGGTGGTGGGATGACATCTTGGTCCTCAGACTCGTCGTCTCCCTAGTTAAGTCTAAGGATTCAGGAGACGCTCTGTCCTTTCCCGAGAAGGAGCCAGAGGGAGCACCTAAGGGACTCTGAAAAGGGTAGGCCATCAGGGGGAGGGGGAAGGGGTGGCGGAAGGTGGACGTGGTGAAGCCTGCGGTGGCAGAGAGAGGCGACTGGTGCAGGGGCTGGTGGTGGCCGCCAGCGGGGGCGCCGGAGGCAGACTGGTCAGATGAGTTTTTGCGGACAACCAGGGGCAGTGCTTCTGTCTGGTCTGTGGAACTGGGCATTTGCACGTTGCCAAAGGTGTCCAAGGGGTTCGGAATGATGACGTCGCCAAAACACTGCAGGCGCTGGTTGGCGGTGTGGAAATTGTGGTTTTCCCCATTGACTGCAAATCTGGCCTGGGGGATCTGGAGAGGGGGGAAGACCTGAGGAACCTGGCGGGAGGGCTTGGCCGAAAAGACTTTGACCACCGTGTCCACAACCTGCGACATGGCAGAGTTCAGTTCCTGTTTCAAGGTCTCGGCCAAATGTTTGCCTTCTGGTTGCAAGGAGTTTGGCGCGTGGTCTCTCTCTTTGTTGCTGCCTTCTCGCTTGGGCTTGTTTTCAGCCATTTCCTGCTCCCTGATCAGGGCCCGGGCGCGGTCAATGAACTGTCCTGGGTCCAGCTCGCACATCTCGTTATCTGACCTCCCCACGGAGTCCTGGGCCCTGGCCTCCAGAATCTCCGAGCGCATGCTGTCTTCAGACAGGTTACCATCTTCATCATTTTCAGAATCAGTGCTGTCATAGATTTGGTAGAACTTTTCCTGCAGCTGGCGCAGCTGTTTCTGCATGTCCTCCAGCTGCTGTTTCAGCTGTCGGCGCTCCTCTCGCTTCTGTTCTTTTCGGGCTGAAACCAGCTGCTGGAAACTCTGTTGCTGCTGCTGGGGCAGCTTTTGCTTGCGTTTGTTTTCTCGGTAACTTTCTCGGGGACTCACAGACTGCGGGGCCATCTCTCTTTCATTTTCATTGCCCCTTAATGCCACACTGGGGGAATGGCTCATACCCCGAATTATATTCTCAACCCGGGCGCGCTTTGCTCTCAGGTGCTCATCACATAAGCGATCCATATCAAACTGGCTCATAGTAGGCCTGCCAAAAGGGGAAAGACACTCTGGGGGGCTGTCTCTTGAAGAGTTGCTGCATATATCCTCCTGATGTACTTCGGAGCCTGTACTAGAGAGACCGCTGGCTTGGAAACTGGGCTCCGTGCCACCGTTTTTGTTCATGTTATTTTTCAACAGCTGGGAAATTATGGTTGCTCCTGGAAAAGGCATCATGGCATCTTCATACGAGTTCGCCCTCTTCAGCAGCTTGCGGAGTACATTTGACTTTTCCCCATCTGCATGCTGCACCACTGAATACTCAACATCCTGCTCGGAACCTTGGGGATTCATGGTACTAAACAACGTTGCTCTTGCCTTAGCAAAAAATGCAGATGCTGTCCCTACCGTCCTTTTCACTCCAATGTCAACTCTTCTCCTCTTGGTTTGCCGGCTTAAGAGGGCTGTGCTGTCATGGTCAGGCATCACTGGACAGTTATTGTGCCATCTTCAAAAGCTCGTCAGCTGGGCACAGCTCAAGAATCCCGGGACCCTGGCCAACAGAACAAAAGGACTGATGAATCATTTTCTTTAAATTTCTCCAAATTTCCTGACCTCAATCCTGAATCAAATGCAAAATGCATAGGCTCTGGGATTTATGGCACATTACAATTATTGCAATTTATTATGCACTCTGCTTGAAATGAAACATTTTTAAATATTTCTGCTCCACTGGTTTAAGATGGATTAAGATTAAAAAAAAAAAAAAAAAGCAAAAACTGCTTAAGCACCAGTAATATGATTCTCTTTCACAAATGCCTAAAATGATACTGTTTATCTTCAGAAGAAACAGTAGATTATAAGTACACAGCCTCTGACAACCAATTGATTAAATTTTGGGCATTGAGATTCACATTATGAAAGAGGAGGAAAGTGGGCTATACTTAAGAAATAGGGTTAAATTTTGAGGCTGTGTGAAATTTGGATGTAAAATTCCATTTCTGCATTAAAATTATTATGGTTTTAAGGCTATGGAAGGGAAAGGACTCTAAAAACAAATGCAAATATTGAAAACATACCCTTCATCGCTGAATTTTAAAATATTTTTGTCACATGTGAAATTGAAAGGAGGACACCCCATCAGCATCTTTCCAACATAAATGGTTGATTTAACATTGAAATATATGCAAAAATACTCATATTACAAGTCTGCTTATTTAGTATAGATATGCCTTTTTACTGTAAAATCACTTTTGAAGATGGTATCTGTTGGGTTTTTTAATGTAAGTATGAGAATATTTATTAATTTTCATGATGTCTTTCTGATGACAAATTATGATAAAGTTAAACTCACTGCAAAAGAACAACATTGTTAGGTTTTAAAAATCAATAAAGTTAGACACAAATAAATACATCTTCAGGACTAGTTTTCTTCTGTTAAAATCTGCCAAAATAATACTTTACATGCTTAAAGAAACTCTTTAACATATGCCACTTGTGAATCTTATTTCATAAGCTAGATTTAAGAAACAAACAGGAAAGAAGACAAAAAAGATGTATGAAGAAAGAAAATCACCTCACTCCAATTTATGTGAGGAAAGGAAATGCCTTCTCTGCGTATGAACTTCCATTGTTTCTTGGGAACACAACAGAAAGAGATCATCCTTGCTTGCATTTTTCTAAAAGGCACTTGACATATTTTGTGACTTATTAACTAGTGATGCTAAGCCCAAATTTGGCATAAATAGAAGATGTCACATCTTTTTTGCTTACAATTAACATTTTATGAAGAAAATGAGAATATTTTTTTCACCCAGGGTTTATCTAATATTAAACTTCGCGTTTGCTTAACAGAGCACATCTTCACAATAACAGGGTCGATTGCCAAAGGCAGCGTGCAGAGTGTTTGGAACGGCTCCCATCTCTTTCGGTTCACCTGTAAAAACATCTACGTGCTCCCTAGGACTGCATCTGTGGCTAGTTTTAAAGAATGACTATCCATGCAAATAGGCATAATTTCAGCATGAAATAACCTGTAAAAATCAAGAAAATGCTCAGCGCTTAGATGGCAGCGTGTATTTTTTTTTTAAGTGAGAAAGATTTCATCATGCAGTCCTTGCTCCTGCTTTCTGTAGGAAAATAGATTTTAAAAGAGCCTGTTTTAGAGTATCACAGAAGCAGTATGATGCCTCTTTAAATATATTTTTTGTATGCTTGAGAATAAAATACTTTTTATATGCCTCAGGATAAAATGTCCTGACTGTAGAATGGAAACAGACCTTAATAACTTCAACATTGGGTTCAAAATCGAATTTGGAATAATCGCGAGCCCTCACACATGAGTAATAAAATTGGTTTCAGGAATACAAAAATGCAATGACAAATCTTTCACTAACATATTAGATCTGATAAATCAGGTGTAGCTGTCAGGTGAGAGGGGAAAAAAGGAAAGACTGAAACAAACAAGAAAAAAGATGAATTATTGCCAAGCTGAGAAAGACTTGCATATGGAGGGAGAGGTCTTTTTTTACATGCATGTCAGCTTTCCCCAAACAGAGTTCACTGCCATTATTTTAAATGTTTACCTGTTCTGTTTGTGTACAAATCTTTTTCTCATTAATATCACCTGGAAATCACACAGCTCTCCAGTGAAAACATGGAACGAACTTTCTGCAGTGTTTTTCACCCCCCTGGTCATCCTCATGCCCAAACTGGATTTTCCTCCTGCCCATCCTTGCTCTGGGAAGAGCACCTCTGCCACAGAGGCTCAGTAACGACAGGCTGTGTCAGAGACGAGCACAAGGTCATCCCCAGGCATCCTTCCCTTCCTGACTGCCATCTACCTCTGCGTCAACTGCGCTTCTCCTCTAGCCTAGGGATCAAGAGCTGCATCCCTGCCTCAGGCCGGAGCCAGGAGGAGGGCCTTGCTCCTCCTAAGGCAGAAAGAAGTGATATCTTCAGGGCTTGCTGGGTCTTTTTAAAAACAGTCTCCTGTGACTTCCTCCAAATTCACCAAACTACTCTGGTTTTTGCAATTCTCTTTCAACCAGTCAGCGTTTTGAGATTAAATAATGATCCGTTTCCGTTGTGGGCTAAGAGAATTGAATTACTTTTAGGTCTTGTTGTAAGATGTCCAGCTGAGACATAATAAATAGGATGAAACAAATAGGAAAAATTATATAATCCGGCAAGACAAGGCATTGTATTAATAGGCATGAAGAAATATATCTCTCCATAGAGCTTAGACCTAAACTTAGAAATAAAGGTACTAGTGCACATAGGACTTATAACCCATGGAGGCTACAGACAAGATTAAGTAATTATAACTGGTTGACAGTATTATACTAGCATAATATTTCATAAACCAGATATATGTGTAAATGTGCTTACCACCTAAGAAAACACACTGTTAGATGACTATAATGCAAATTAAGTAGCTTGAACACACTTTGAAAGCACTTCCATGATTTCTCAATTCAGAATTCAGAGGATGCTACGGAATGACTTTAACTTTGATATTGTCCTATCCGTGAAGATTTTAAAAAGTGCTTTATTTCTCAACGTGTGTACTAAGCCAGAATGTTTCAGCTACAATTACTATTGATTTTTGTGTGTGCCATGTGCCGGTGAGTCGGCTCCGACTCCTGGCCACCCCATGAATGAGTGATGTCCGCAACGTCCAGTCCTCGAAAGCCCTGCTCTGCCCCTGTAGACTCTCGCCTACAGCTTCTCTGATCGAGTCAATCCACCTCGTGTCTGGTCTTCCTCTTTTCCTACTGCCTACTATTTCCCCAGCATTATTGTCTTCTTGTCTGAATTTTAGCATTAATTTTGAGTTTAACCAAGCAACATGAAGCCTCTTAATCAGCATAGATGAGCATCAATATCAGCAAGTATACAGAAAAATACTGATGTTGAATTTGAATCCAAATGTATTATTGATCAGATACACATATTCTACCCTTGTAAACTCCTTTATAATTACTGCGAAAATCTATAGAGAATAATTTTCAATATTAAATATTTTTGTTGCACCATTTGGGATCTAACTACACAAATGCTCTAAAAAATCCCTATGCAACAGATATCTCAGCATAGCAGACTCCTCCCAGAAAAATTTAAGAACAGACATCCAGGTACCATCAAGTCAGATTTTAACTACTCCAAAGATTCTTAATTAAAATTGGAATTATCTCATCTTCTATTTAACATAATCCTAAGGAAGCTGATGACTTGATGTTAGCAGGAAAGAATTTTCAGCGAAGAGTTTTGAAGGAACACTCCAGTGTGAAGTAGAAAGCGGCTGAGTGCTCTTACTTTAATAAAGAACTGATTTGGGGGAGGGTAGTGCAACTTTTATGCATCTCAGTGGAGTCCAGATTTGGGACAAAGAGGTGTTTCATTACAGTAATTATCCAGATAGTTCAGACAAATCTTTTATGAGACAGAGGAAGTGTAAGGTTGGCATAGTTTCCTGGTTGGATTATTTAGATTATCTGTCTTTGTTGATAAAATTTTTTGAAGAAATTGCTCAAGCTTACCCTTTACTTCCTTCAGAAAACAACCTTTGAATAGGCCTCTGATCTACTCAGATCAACCTGGTTATGAAATTTCCAATGGAATCGCATTAATAAATTGATCTGGAAATCAGTAATTCAAGGGGGGAAAATCCGATGATTTGATTTGGATAACTCCCCCGACCCACCTACCCAAATCACTAAGCTGTCCCCTTCACTATATTCAAGAGTTCATTTTTGTTAATTAGCAACTTTTCCTTTGGAGGTGTTTCTGCCCACTATCAGGTAAAGAGAACCTTTGATTTTTAATTTGAAGAATTTACTTGACGTTAAGCTAATATTTAAATTAACTAAGACTGTACTGTCGAAGTCTTTTATTAGATTTAAAAATTTCCTATCAGAATAGAGTTCTCAAATCATAACCATTTCATTAAAAAGTCCTCCATCCTATCAAAAATTCCATATGCTTTTCACCAGCTAAATAAGCACAGAACATTTTCTTACACATGCCTAAATTATTCATTTCTACTTATTTAAAAAATCATAATTCATCAAATTAGTAAATCAGAGAAATAATATCAAGAAAAAACACTTTTTTTCCTGTTTCTTGAAATTTGAAATACTCTAAATGTCCTCTGAAGCTTTAGAATACACTAGGCAATATGGTTTGAGAAATTCCTAATGTATATGTCCTTACCAATTTATACAGGTGCTTAATTAAAATCCTATAATAACGTATCATGCACAATCCATCTTCATATTATAAAACCAGTAACATTTTGTAATTTCTTTTGTTAATCCTGAGCCTGAAACATTTCTTATATTAGCAGTTGCAAATGCAAGATGATTTCTGAAATGATATAAGAAGGTAAGGGAAAAAGGGCCTATGTGCCCTTTGAACAAATAAACGTCAAGCCTGGCAGCTAGGTTATGTTTTAAAATTGCAAGTGCCACTTGCAGAGGACCAATGCAGAGGATAAAGTAGGAACAAAGATGCGTGTTATGTATGCATGACTTTTTTTCCCACAAGGTGGTGATTAAACTAAACAGAATTCTGCATAATGGATACATAAAAATATCAGTAAGTCCCAAGCATAGATAACCCCTATTAAAAATAAGCAAAAGAACATATCCACAGATGACATTTTAATTATGAAAGAACTTCAAAAGCATCCAAGGAAAGTGTTGGAGGAAAACTTTGATCTTTAAGTCTAAGGAATAAATAACACATATTGTCTTATTTTCATGAAATGATCGTCACCCAAGCAACAAAACCAACCAACAAAAACCATCCAACCTAATTCTATGCAACTCAAGAAGCAGCCTATAGAAAGAAAAATGTACAAGATCAAGTGATAAGAATCCAGATACAGTGCTTGCATTGAATTCTCAACATCTTCCCTCATACATTAAGCCACAACCCTTACTTTTGTCTAATTTACCATTATGTAAACATAGCCATGTTATGCTGTATGGACAGGTTAACCTGAATATTCCCCTTTTGCTTCCTCACCACACACAGCCCATTTCATTTTGAAAATACTCAGAAGTTCTTGCAAGAAACTCTCCATAGAACTGACTACCCGCATCTTGCATCGAATAGAAAAGCACAGTTACCTCTCACGTACTTGAGATTTTCCTTCCCCATCAAAGTAATAACTAGAACATCTGGCACATGTCTGGTACAATGACAGGCTCATTCGACTTTATGAGAATATTTAACATATGACTTGAAAGAGTTTATTGCACATACCTATTCTTTCTGGGCAGAGAGAAAGCACGCTAAAAAGATAAGCTTTATGAACAGTAACACTTTCAAACTGACTTTGGTATTCTTGGCAGTTACACACACCACCCACGGCTGTCCAAAATACACACACACAAAAGACAGCTCCCCCCCCTCCCCGACCTGGGAGATAGACATAAACTGGACGGAAGCAAAGAGAAAGTCAATCTCCCTCCACCTGCTGCCTGAAGTGGGGGTACTGAGAGCGCCTGGCAGGCAGGAGCCCGAGACACAGCCTCAGCAGCAGCCTGCCAACATCCTTAAGAAAAATAAACAAACACATAACAACTTGTCCCCTACCCTCAACCAAAGAACTCACATGGCAGGGCTCAAAGCATAACAACAGCCCATTCCCATTAGCCCGGACAATCCTATTAACCAGGGCAACCATAAATTCATAAATCTCTACAACCCCAGGGCATGCATTGTGGTCTGGAACTGTACAGACACACACAGACACAGAGGAAATTTGCACCTGTCTTTCTTGACACAACACACCTGTCAGGCCCTGCTCATGCGCATTCTGCTAATAGACCTCTGCCTACCTAGTTTAGGAAAGGAAATGCTTTTTTTTTTTTTTTTTGTAAGGGAGGGTATAGGTGGGAGGAGAGAGAGAGACAGAGAGGGGGGTAGGGGAGAGCACAAGAGAAGAAACTTCTAGCCTTGACTTTGAGAGAAGGCCATCCTGTACTTGCTCTGTTTTTATAAGCTCAAGGAGACAACACAGACCTTCTTGGAAAAATTAAAACAAGCAGGTGAGTTTCCAGCCTTCCCCCAGGCGGAGCAGGGTTCTGGACTGCCAAGAACAGCAGCAGTTTCACACTCCGACCTGCCTCCTTGGCTATTTAAGGCTATCGCCCAACCCCTCCTCCCGGTTCTCTTCTCGGCCGCCCTGGAGGTCTCAGCTTCCAAAGGGCTGAGAGGGGGCCTGAGACCTCGAGTCTCTCGAAAGCTCCTCTTCCTTTCCCTCCTCGCCCCCTCCTCCCAAATCCAAACTCTCCGGCAGCGTTCAGTTTTAGCAGGAGGAGTAACCGGCTGCCACACCAGAGGAACCAACAACTCGCTAAACCGGACTTTGGGTGATGTCTCTTCTCCAACCGCCCCCCCACCCCGCGCCCCGCTCCTTGTCTGTTCCGGCAAGATAGCAGCTCTTCCCGCCCTCCTCGCCATTCGGTCCAGTAACAATTACTTTCACCTCTCCTCTCCCCCCTCCCCAGTCCTCCAAACTGGGGCAAAACTGTAGGTACCACGCAGCCAAGACAAGATCGAAGCAGTCCAGCGCCACAGACTGCCAGCGATGACTGAGAGAGTCTCGGCCTTGCAAGTCCGCTGCCCAAGAACATCCCCCCGCCCCGACCTCGATCTCCCCGTCCTCCCGCAACGCTGGGGCACCAATCCCTCCGCCCCCCTGCCCCCCCACCTCCTGAGGTTCCCGGGGCCGCCTTACCCCGCTCAACTTGACCTACTCCAGGCTCCCTGGAGCTCGGGAGAGCGGTGCCGCGCTCGCTGCCCCGGACCATCTCTGCGCCGCTCCAACCCCGATTTCAACATTGCGGCTCCGACAGCGTTTAAGGGAGGAAAGTAACAGAGCGCCCCCCTTCCCCGCTCCCAGCCTCTCTCCTCTCTGGCTCTCCGCTGGGGTTAAAAAGGAGAAGTGAAAGGTATGCAAATGACAAGCAAATTGGAAGAGCCTGGGAGAAAGGCAGCTATAATAAACTAGACAAAGAGCAGGGACGTGGGGACTAGCCCAGGAGTTTTAACCGGGGGAGATGGGAAGGATGAGGCTTGGCGGAAAGCGGGGACCCAGACGAACAAAAAGCGAGCCTGTCCCCCTCGCGGTCCCCTCTCCTGAGTAGAGAGAGGGCAGGCGAGAGAGGAAAGGCAGCAAACGCCCCCGCACACCCCAGACGCGGCACACAAAAGGTGACAAGATCAGCGACAAGTCCAGCAATATCAGCCTCCCCCCGTCGCCGCCACCACCCCCCGCCACTGGCAGGAAAGAGAAAGAAATAAAAGCCGAGCGGATCACTTACTCTTAGGAACTGGGAGGAGCGGAGCGCTGAGTTCCACTGAGGCTCCTGCTCGGAAACTGTTGAGAGGCTATTTTATTAGGATTCATTTAAATAATACCATTTCCTCCTGAAAAAGAAAATGTTTACACGGGTATAAGTCATGGGAGCTTCTTTTCTTCCCATTCAAGAACAAGCCAGTACAAGTGATTCTGGAAAAGGGGAGGGGACTGGCGAGGGGACAGAAGATACTTACGCGGTGCAGAGCAGGGGGACTGAGCCTTTTTTTTTCCCCCTGCCGGCAGAGAGGAAAACCCGCGCGCGCTCACACCCGCTAATATCTTGCGGGTGATGAATATGATAATTGGACCAGGGACGGTGAGTCTGGACGACAGCGAGCGAGCGAGCGGGGCGAGAGCGAAGAGGGCGGGGAGAGGAGCAAGGGGGAGAAGAGAAGAGAAGAAAGCGGAGCGCGGAGAAGCCCGGAGAAGGGAGCAGGAGAGGAGAAGGGAGGAGAGAGAGCGGGGCGGCGCGGGGAGCCGCGGCGCGGGGCGGGAGCGGCGGGCCCGGCGGAGCTCTTTTGCGCCGCTCCGCTCGCCCGGCTGCGCGGGTGTACGATTTCAGCGCGCTCCCTCAGCTGAGGGCTGCGCTCCACAACAAGATTTACTTTAAGACACAGCTGAAGGAAACAGGAAGACTGCACGTCACAGTCTCACTGACGTACCCGGCCCCAGCACCCAATCGCGAGGCGCCTTCGGATTCAAGGGGGGATAGCGAGGCAAGAGAACTTGGGAGGAAAAAAAATATATAAAAGGGGTGGGGGTGAGGGGCTGGGAAAAGAGGAGGGGAGCGGGGACCCGCGCTCCTCCTCCCCCGCCTCCATCCCCGGCCCCCACCCCAATCCCCGCCCTGCCCCTGCTTCGGGGCCACCGAATCGCCGCGCCCGGCCGGAGCGAGCCATCTGCGGGCGCTCTGCAAAGCGGGAGCCGGCGCGCGCGGCGCTGGGCTCGCGCTCGCTCTTCCAGGACGCAGGTCCCCTTTTTCTCCTTCGTTTCCCAGATACGGCTGATCGAGTTTGCCCAGTGGCCGAGCGAGCCAGTGCTCCTCGGACTTGAGTGAAGGAAGGCACGGAAAAGTGTACTGGAGAAAAAGTGGTGTTTGTTTTTTTTTTTAAGGGGTGGGATGGTATAGGAGGAAGGAGTGGGGATCCTTAAATCATTCCACTTTTAAAATGATCATAGGTAGTATCAAAAATACATGTCACTCTTGCAGAATTTTAAAGGGGAGGTGGGCACTAAGATACCAGGTAAGGTTTGGGGTTGAAGAATAAATGCCAGAGGTTTCCCGCACCGGCTCCGCTGCATCTGGCATCGGAAGACCAGCATTGACTTAACTCCAGTCAACCTCCCGAGAAAATTACTTAAAAGAAGAACCCTTGTTTGCATGGTAGGGACAGCAGCCTTAAAGAAAATGTTCATAAACGTTACTTCCCAATGGTCCCTCGCTCATTCACCCCACAAGAACCAAAAATATAGGTTTCAAACAGGATTTACACAGTTAAAAGCCTGAGTGACAAACTTTAAAATGTACTAGGTAAGTAATTGCAAGTGCTTAATTTCAGACTTCGAAATAAAGCCACAGAAAATTCACTTTGGTTTGACACATGTTGGATGAAAAATAACCAGCAAGATTTCTTTAGGCTACAGGGCTCTTAAGAGCTCCTTGGGGTTTGCAAGTTACAAATGCTGAGGAGGGAGCCTCCAGCCCCACAGCTAGAACGGCAGCTACACCATCTCTTCCTCCCTGCACAGTAACCGGCTTTTAATAAAGCGACCGAGTTTAAGACTTAAAGGTCCTACAAAAGCTAGGGCTTGCAGGGCTGCGAAGCAAAAACGTTCACAGCTACATGATTAGACACTCATTTTCTTAGGTAGGGCGAGGAAAAGTATTTTTCATGTGTCCCTCAAATTTAGTTAGATCAAAGGTTGAATCATGTTGCGACTGTGACAACAGGGTGTTTATGAGGCGTGTTACAAGCACACGGGCCGAAAACAACCACCAGTTTCTGCAAGCACACGCACACCTTTCCCAGGACATGGAGCATTTCAGCCTCAAAGTCATCAAACTGTGAAGAAGTCTTCTCTTTGAATGATAGCAATGATAACGTCCAACTCTATACCCTGTAGGAAACTTTTGGCAAGGGATTCACACATTGAAAAGAAAGAAAAAAAATCAGGCCGGCCAGGTTAGGTGTCCAGGACAAGAAAAAGAGACTTGCTTGAGCACCCCCAGTGTCCATTTCTTCCGACTGGCAGCCCTCAGACACTCCCTGCACCCCATGACTGAAACAACACAGACGCGGGCAAACGCCACTCACGCCCCCAGTGATCCGATTCTGGGCTACTGATCATATCAAGTGTTCTCATCGAGACGTGACTATTTAGGCTGGGAACAGAAGTAATCTATCAATGTGCCCATAAGATGCAGTATGGGATAGTGTTTCTATTGGTTGGGTCCTTTCGAGGTAAGCGGGTGCATTGAGCAGGGAAATTTGGGTCAAGGAAAGTGCCTTTCTTCTTTTTCCTCCCATGATTTTCTTGAAGGATCCCCGTGTGTACATGGTTGAGCCAGCACACGCATAAACTGGTAGGAGCAAAGGATATATGCCCTCCACACCTTAAAACCATCTGCTCAGCTTGACATTTAAAAGGGAGGAGGGCAGGGAAGGAGGAGGGGAAGAAGAGGGAAGAAAGGAAGCAGAGAGTGAGAGAGAGAAAAAAGACTCAGACTCTGGAAGGAATGGCTTGAACTGTAGCCCACAAGTTTAGGTCAATTGCACCGAGCGCTCGGATGCACGTTTTGCACACACTATGCTCGGGAACGGACTGCGGGGAAAAGTCCTTTGTCATTCCCTGAGTCGAAGTCGGGGTAACCCGCTTGGCAAACAAGGAAGCGCCCCTAACCCCAGGCTTGGCGGCTGAGGCTCGCGGCTCGCCACGCTCGGCTGCGGCAGTTCGCAGCCCGCTTTAGGGCGCAGAGGAGCTGGTGGTTGAAATAGGAGCGCGCGCAACGCCGGGCGGGCGAGCTCGGTCCTCAGCCCAGCTCTGTGAGCTGCGTATTCGGGGCCCTGTCCTGTCCCCTACTGTCGGGACGACAAGCAAGCCAGGCTCTTGGCCAACCTCTCCTGCCAGAGCTGAGGCGCTCTCCGAGGTCTCGAGCTGCCCTGGAGCAAGTATCTCGGAAGACTCCCGGTTTTGTTTTCTGATAGGCGAGAAACGATCAGTCAGCTCGGAGACCACAACTCGCCTTGATATTGGCTCCATCTCTGAAACCAGTGGACAAACCTAGGGGTCAATCCCTTCCTCCGCCCAACTGCCAATACAACCCCAGTAACTTAAAAGTTAACCCAAATTCTGACAGGTCTTCCAACAAACCCCATCCATGCAAGCTGCGTTTACTTATTCAACTGAAGGCTGATTTGTGTGTTCTTAGTCAAACTTGCTGTAATCATTTGTGCGTCTGGTTCTGAGTTAAACACAGTTCGCCCAGATACTTCCTGGGTGAATCCCGCCCCCACCCCTTCTTTCTTAAAGCCGTTAGGTGGGTCGCAGGGAAGACTGCTCTAAGTAATTTACACAACTGTCATCAGGTCCTAACCAAACCAATTCTGGCAATTTCAACCAGATCCAGTTAAGAGACAAACGTGGGCATAGATTTCGGAAGAAAATTGCTGGAGATCCTGCCCAGACACACACACAAACACCATCGGCCAAACACTACCACCACCATCCTGAATAGGGAAAGAGAAAGAAAGAAAGACCAACGCCAGGGTGCAGGCCGGCCTGCTTCAGGCCATCCAGAGGCAGACTGACTGACCTCCATATTTCTCTCTCCCCCACAACCCCTCCTGCCCCTGTGCCCAGTGTGACGCCAAGCCCAACCTGAATTTGTTCAGAAGGTCTGAAGGGGAGGAGTGAAATGCCACAAGATCAGTAGCAATAGCAGCTGCGCGTTTCTCTCCTGGGAACCCCACTGCTTAGAAGCCTCCCGAGTGATGTTTGTTTAACCAACAGCTTTCAAAGTAAACAGAGGCGAATCACTCCAAAGAAGGTGAAATATAACCTTTACAAGAATTTGGGGTCAGGGCGCCGGCAGAAAAAGTAATTTTTAAAACTAATAGAGCCCCCACCCCAATAAATAGTCCACTACAAGGAGCCAAAAACAACCTAGAACTGTCATAAAAATACTAATTCATCGAAAGGATTCACTCCTGTACAGTGACCTCGAAGCAGATCACTCCTCCCCGACAAGCACCGCCCTTGGGGAGAGGGGACCGGTGTCAGAGACCGAAGGGGCAAACTATTACTTGATTTTATGGAAGGGGCAAAAACAATCAAAGGGAGGTACATTCTTTGCCCTGGAGTAGAAAAGAGAAGGCTGGGAGCTCCGCGCCGCCAACCCTGGCTTTGCCTCAGGCACCGAACTTTCCAATATCAAGATATTAACAGATGGCGGTGAGCACATGGAGGGCTGTTACTTACATAATCCAGCCACTCCGCCCGGCCGCGCGGAGCCCGGCGAGGCGCCTGCCAGGCCGTGCGCGCGCCTTGCGAGGGGTGCTGCTGCCCCCCGAAATAACGTGCCTTTCTCCAACCCTACTCTGCTCTTTGAGGGCTAGGATTTGGAAAGGTCTTAATCTCAGAAAAAAATTTTAAAAAATGCACATCGATCTGGTGTGCTTTATCTTCTTCAGTCCACGGTAGTGAAGAAGCTGGAGACCGAAGGGCCAAGAGAAGCGGAGGGTACGCTTTCGGGGAGAACGGGACATTCTCTCTCGGTAACTGGGGGTGCCAGGTAGCGAAATTTACGCAATTTACACCCCTCCCTCTTGGCTCTAATTAGCATATCGTTCACTGTCACAGAAATACAAAAGCAGGCTCGGGCCGCAACCTAGAGTGGGGTGGGTGAGGGTGTGAGTGCGCGGGGACGCCTTTGCACGCGGGGGCGCAGTGGGCAAAGTTACGCACAGCCTGGGGCACCGCTACACTTCCGAGCTTTTGCAGGTTTTTAACCACTGGTTCTCGCGCGCGGGGAGCCCCTTTCGGCTGTGAAGTCGCCTGCTGCCATCACGCCCTCAGCCACCTCCCCAGAGGCCCAGTCCCTCCCGGTGTGCCTGTGTACCTCCGCACGTGTGCTGGGGGACGTGTTTGTTGGCCGAGCCTCCTCCCTGATGGCGACTGGCAGCCGCCGAAACCCGTGAGGAATACGCCTGCGTGCGTTGGAAAAGTTTCGGGGTTGGAGGGAAGGCTGGGAGTCTCTTCTCCTGGCCCTGCGCGGAGCGGGGCTGACTTGCCAGCAGCTTCCTCCGGGTCTCCCCCCCCCCACCCCCGCCCACCGCCGCCCCTCCTTCCACGCTGCGGCCCCGCACTAGGTGTCGCGGCCTCTGGACGCAGAGAGGGCGAAAGCGCGGTGCTACTGCGGTCGCGCCGCGCTCCGAGAGGAGGGGCACGCCCACCCTGCTCCTGCGGCCCTTGGGGTCCCTCTTGCCAAGTCTGCGCCCTGCGTCCCCTGTTTCCTCCCCGACCGCCGCAGGCTTTGCAACAGTGCTCAGCTGGCCTGGGCTCGGCGTACGCCGGGCGCAAAGGGCAGCCACCTGCTCCCGGTGCGGCGCGGAGCTGGGGAACATCGGATGCTGCCGGGCCCGCGCTGCCCCGCAGCCTCCCCTCCCCCGCCGCCCTCCTGTTGCTGTGGGGCGGTGGCGCCCACAGCTGGCTGATGCGTTCAGCCCGAGAGTTGGGGCTCTCCCGGGACCTCAAGAAGGGCGGGACCTTTTAAAGGATGTACATCTTCCGCCCAGACAACCCCCCCCCGCCCCCACCTTTCTTGGCCGTTATTCCCTGTTTCCCTTTCTTTGGTCTTTCAAGCCAAGGGTGCGAATTCGCAGGAGGTGCTCTCTGTTTTCAGGGGCTGTGGGGCTTAAGTTATCCCTGCTGCCCATATTTCCAGGCTTTTATTCAGGATGACCAGCAGGTTAGAAATATATAGGCGAAGGCCAGGCACAGGGGGAACAGAGAAAGAAGCTCCCAGGTCGGATATATTTGGGTGGGTGGGTGGGGTGGGGTGGGGTGGAGGGGAGTGACTGAAAAGTTGCATTTTGTTTAAATTAGAGCAAGACAAAGTTGAAAGCCAGATTTCTATAATTTTTCTGGTAATATTTCTTTTATGAAGTATTTAAGTGTCTGTTTGTCATCATTTTGAGATCAAAAGGAAAATCCATATGCTGCATAGTTTTTCGAAATTGCTATTTAAATATGTTTTAAATGTTTTATCCAACGTGGAGAAGGCTGCTCGGAGGCAGACTGGTGACAGGGAGAGCGGGATGGCTTGATGTGAAGCAGGATTCCCATGACCTGGCTAATCCTCAAGTATCACCAAGGGAGCTTTTAAAAAATAAAGATTTCTGGGGCCCACCCCAGCTAGGCAATCAGCGGAAGGACTGAGAATCTGGGGATCATACTGGTTTTCCAATTACTGCCCAGCCAGACACTAACTCTGTGACCTTCGCTGTATCATTTAATCTCCCTGAGCCTCACTTCTTTTTATCTGTTAAGTGGGAATAATATCCCACTCATCGAGTTGTTGACTTTTACATAAGTAAGATTGTTCAGCACAGGATTGGTGCCCAATAAATGGAACCTATCTGGTCTACAAATGTGTGTTCCACACACTGGGGCTCCCCCCTCCCCCCATGTTTTGGTGAGGCTAACTGGACTGTCATTCCACAGGTATGTGTGTGCAGATTTTCGCTCATGCCTAGTTGCTTCTTTGGACACTTTGTATGCTCACCTTCCCACCTTTCAGGCCACAAAATATAAATTCGAATTGGTGCGTGTTTGGAAGCGACACCGTGTGTCCTTGAACCTAGGCCTGGCCATCAGGCCCAGTGGTCAGCAGAAGGCATTTATCAGTCTGAATTTTGCTTTTTCTTTCTTTCTTTTTTGGTCCTTTCGCCTTCCCTGCTTTCTAGACGGAAATCTTTCCCATAGAAGCTGCCCATCAGACCAATGAAGAAGCCACAGGACAACACATTCTATTCAAGGAGGGAACATCAAGGAGGCAAAGATGGTCAACATTCCTAGGTAAAACTATATATATAATTTATCATTATGTTTTTACATGTCTGAATGAACAACTCCCTCAAATCTACATGTAGTGAAAGGCAGTCCTTCATAAAAGTAGGTTCAAACCAATGAGTACAAGCACACCTCGAGGTAATTAGGAGAGAGCCCAGCCAAAGACAGCTGTGAGAAAGAGAAAGCTAGGTGGGAAAGCGCCATCCCTGGCTGTGACTCTACAGTAGTGTGAGGGAAGAAAGCCAGAGGAATGGAATGGGCTGAACCAGCAGTGAACAGATCAAGGAGGCTGACAATTTTAGAACCGGAGAGGGCTGTGAGCGGCTCATTAAACATCCCAAGGAAGGTGTTTTGCTGGTATCCTCAGAACGCTTGCGATAAGTACTCCCGATGTTTTGGTGGGGGAGGGGGTAAGGAAGAGATTGCCAGCTTGGGGTGTCTGTGGGCCCAGCCACTAATGAAGGAACTCATTCTCCCTGAACGAGGGAAAGCCCAACCATCAAGCTAGATGCCTGTCCTCGGAGGGTTTGGGGATATATTTAGGCAGGTGTGGAAGATTTCTGCTCTCTGGCTACTCTCTGTAGGGTGAGCTTGGTGTGGGCAGGGGAAGGGGGGGACAGGGAATGTCTGTGACTCCAGGGGACAAAACAAAGGACTTCAAGACAACTACAGAGAAACACTCATCAGCAGTCAAGCTATAGGGCCACTACTGGTTTCTTACTCGCAACCACCCTCAGAGTGAAAGAAGCTCTTTTGCCTCCACTTGTGTGAGGGTGGCAGAGGTGGGGGTGGTGGCAGAGGTCTAGAGAGGAGAAGGGCTGGGTTGAGGACAGGGTATGGGAGGGGCAGGGCAGGTAGGGGAGCGAGTCGGTATGGGGGTGGGAGAACTGCGAGGGAAGGGAGCATGTTGGGGGTGTTGGTGGGGGTGTAAAACCAGAGGATCGATGAAGGACGGGTGGGGAGGGGTGTTAGCAGAAGGTGGATGGGATGGTGGGGGTAGCCTATAGCTGGGGGCGGCAAGAGAGCAGAGACAGGGGAAAGTGAGGAGGTGGGAGTTAGTTCGATAGGGGGCAGCATGTACCTGGGGGGGCAGGAGGTGCAAGAAAGTGGGGGTGAGCAAGGAGAGCCAGCGCCCTGGGCGGCAGGTGGTAGATGCGGCAGTGTGGCTTGAGAGGCGGAGGTGTGGCGGGAGGAAAGACCCACAGGAAGGAGGCTGACGTTGGCCCTTGCTCAGACTGGGGTAGGGAGAAGAGCTGGGTCTTGCCTCTCTCCTGCCCTGACAGCCTGGCCCAGACTCTGAAGATGCTGGCGAACTCTTATCCCAGGGTGGCAGGAAGGCCTGGGACCCCAGCTGGTGGCCGCTGCCCGGCAGACAGGGTATCAGGTTGTCTCCTCTGGGGCCGGCGAGGGCGCGGCCTGCCTGACCAGGCCGGCCTCACTGCGCCTTGGGCTCCAGGGCTCCCTGTGCTCCCCTCTCCAAGAGCGGGCCCTGCGTGTCCCTGCAGAGACTCCTCCCCACGGCCCACCCCACCCTCGCACAGGCCACTGGCGCAGACCTTCCTCCGTGTCCCCTCCATCGCCACCCTAGGCCAGGGTCGCTCCTTCACTCCCGAGGTCCCCTTGGGACCTTTGCCTTCCCAGACAAGGTGAGTTGACCCCTTCTTCTCCTCCCCATCTTCAGGTGGCGGGGCCTGAGGGGAGAGGGGAAAGGGCAGGAGGGTGTCCGTGGCCCCAAGTGTTTTGAAGAAGATGGAATAATTCAATTCAACAGATAATTACTATTTGCAAGACGCTGCTAAACATGGCAGTTGGTGACCCTGTTGAGTGAGCAGAGCGGACTGGACGATTTTGGTCCTTTGCCAACCTGGGTGGACAGTTATTATCTGTGTTTGATTAGGTCGGGTTTCTGAAACCTCAGTTAGGAGCACTAGTCTGGAAGAATCTGGATGAGGGGCAGAAGTGTCAACACCTCCATGCCTCTCAATATTCCAAAGTGATCTTTCAGTGAGAATGAAGAAGGAGGCGAACAGGCAGTAATAAGTGTGAGGGCAAAAAAAATAAGTAAATAAATAAATAAAGCGTCTCATCCCCTCTTCTAAGTTTTTCTGGCTGGGCTGATAATCAAATTAACAGAGCCAGATTAACAGGATAAAATTCAGTTTTTAATACACATGCATGGGGAATCCATATAAACATGGAAATTTCAAAGACTGAGGCAACATGGGGTATACGTGACATGTTTGCCAATGGTGAAAAGGTTTCGGAAGCGAGAATGCACGATGCTCAGAGAGCTGAAGAAGAGCAGAACACACGAGGCAGGCAAGCTCTGCATAGACAACTCAGGCAATAGGAGGCAGAGGGTCTCTAGCCAACAGGCCCCCGCCTGAAGCCCTCTTATTTGCTATACTTAATTCAGATTAGGCTAAGGGAACATCCTAAGATTTCCTTCCTGAGGCAGGTTTTTCTGTCTGAATGTCTTGAACAGGAAAGAGGAGGGGGGAGGGCCAAAGCTTCTTTCTCAGTCTTTTGTTTCTTAATAACCAGCTTAAAATTGATATCCCAAAAGGCCTCTTCCAGGTGGCGAAACTTTGGTCCCCTTCATAATAATTCTGGCATTCACTGAGCATGGTCTATGGCTGAACTGTGCTGGGTGCTTTATACCTGGCACTTCCACCTTGTTTCCATAACGCCATAGGTTATAAGACACGCCACCAATTTAAAGATGGTTTTTGGGAGAAAAGGAGAACACAAGGACCTTAATACACCATGCATCGTAAGTCAAACTGATTTCAGAAACATATTAAAACGTAATGTAAAAAAAAAGTGAATCTTGAAAGTGAAGAAATAAAAGGTAAGTGTAGTTCTTGCGATAGCTCTAATTAAAGTTATCCCCACTGGTTGGAAGAGTAAATGGGGATCAGTGGGGGAAGGTGTCACCCCTTGATCAAGGCCACAAAACCAGTAAGTAGCAGCTGCAATTGGAACCCAGGTTTGCGCACAGTCAGAGCCAGAATAACCTCCTCAGACGCTGGGCTTTGTCAGCTTTTTCCCAGCCCTGGTCCTTTCTTGACCCTTTTACCCTCAGCTCCTTCCCCTGCCCTCTGAGCAATGAGACTTCCAGGAGGGCTCTGAAATTCATTGAGGGGAAAAGGTACAAAATAGTCAAATTACCATGTTTTTTTTTTTCCACATTCAAATAAAGTCTTTAAAGGGTAAAAACCACGCATGCTAGGTTTTGCTGTGCACTGCAGGAAGTCCGTGAATTCAAGGATCCCAGTATTGCTGAAAATAGAATTGTAAAAAATAAAAGGGGTGGGGGGGGCGAGAAAGTGAAGGAAACTAATCCTATTAAACGTGGTAGCATGTTTTTGTGGCACGCAGGGAGAGATTAAGCACAGGAAAGGGGATAAATACTGCTTCAGTTTCACTAAACTAATGTGACAACTTGTCATTGGAAATCTTTGCAGCTTGTTAGTAGATGGCTAGCTGATTCAGTAGTGTTTTCTATCATTCCCTTTGTGTCTCCCACAAGTTTTTTTTTTTTTTAATTTTCTTTCTTTTCCTGTTTCTTTCTTGCCCATGCTGCTCTTGCTTTTTAATCCTTCATGTCTCCTTCAAGTCAAAACATTTAGCTGGCTCTAATCAAGATTTGGTTTTGAAGATGCCCTTTGACCCTGCATTGCCCAGAGAGCCTGGGGACGGGACTGCTTTCCATCCTTGAGCCAGGGTCTGTCCCATAGCTTGAAAATCGAAGCTTCTGGGGGAAAACTCTCATTTTAGATTTTATTTTTCTGGGGTCGTTCTCCTTTGCCTTTCCTTTTGTTTATTTATTTTTTTGTTTTATCCTCTTAGTCTCCTTCTGCGTTTCTTTCCCAGGCGTCTGTGTCTTTTCTCACTCGCCGCTTCTGTTTTCCTAATTTCCTTCTACTTTCTTGCTTTCCTGCCACTTTCTCCTTCACCTCTTTCCTAAATTTCTTTTCCCTCTTTAATTCACTCCAATTACTCCTATTCTTCCTTCCCTTTATGGAGAAAAGTTATGAATCCTTCACGGTGGTGGTTTTCACATGGAATCTGGTGCCGATGAAGGGGGCAGTGAGGTGGGGAGGGGGCCCAGGATCTATGGTCACAGACATGCAGGGAACAAAAGGCTGATCTGAATCAAGAGGAAGCAAGAATTTTAGGCTTGGTCCCTGTTTCCAAAGCAGGTGTCTGGCTTGTTTGGAAATGTGGCTGACTGTCCCGCTCTCTTTTTTGCCTTGGCATCACTTTCTCCTACCGGCCTCCTCCCTCCCCCGCTCCAACTTTCCCCACTGGCTTACCACCAGAGGCCGAGATGTTGAGTCAATGGAAAAACAACATTCGCCAACATTAAAGGGAGAGTGTTTAGAAAAGGAAGGCCCTGCTGAGGTGCAGAGGAAGCCTGTACATTAACACGGGCCACCTCTTATCTGGGGCAGCTGGGCCCGCGCTGCCTGTGCTGATTCCCTGGCTTTGCCAAGAGGCCTTCAACAGAGGGGCCGCCTTGCGGGGTGCGGGGCTGACGCTTGCCCTTCGGCTTCACCAGCACTTTCAGAGACAAAAAGTCATAGCTTCCCCCCCCCCCCCCACTTTGCCCCCAGGGATTTCATGGGAAAACCTGGACCAATAAGCAAAGTTCTGCAAAGGAAAGCACCCCTCTACGCCTGCTCTGGACACCACTCACCATGAAGCTGGCCCCTCTCACTGCCAGTCCTGAGGACTCCCCAGCACTGTAACGACTGGCCATTCTGATCCGCACGTAAATTATGGGGAAGGACAACCTAAAGTGACCCAAAGGAGAAGAAGAAAAGGCATGTGGCTAGGTTCACCCTGGCTCTAAATTGCTTACCGTTAAGTCTTGAGCCAGCTCCTGATGGAAAGATAAGGTAAATCCCTAATCAGTCAATAATTAACCAAAGCACCATTAATGGCCCAGTCAACCAAATCCTGCTGACACCTTCAAGAACCCTGCTTTAGTGGGAGGGTTA